CATACGAGGAATTTGTTTTTGTGACAGAGCTTCTACTGTGCAACAGATTTACAGAGACAGGACAATAAATATACTTATTTATATTATAAATAGGATTATAAATAGATAAAAAGCAGTAAGAAGTGAATGCAAACTATACAAATTTGTACCGTTATATACAACACCGACTCAGACAATACAGCACTGCAAACTATTAAATATGTCCATAAAAGGCACTTTTTCCAGCTTTTCAAGGTTAAAAGTTATTGGAAGAAAGATCAAGATCTCATAATGCAGCTTACAAAATACTGAAAACTGCTCATTTACAGATATTTAGCGTTCACTGGTCTGGAGTTGTGTTGTATTATTCAGCGTCTTCTTTCTGCTGTATGCCTGGCTTGAACATGATCAGATATTTGTAAGCCTGCAAAGCTTGTCGATATATTTTATAGCCGACTACAAGCGCTATTGATTGTTCAACTTTCAGAGATCAGATTTCTGGAAATCAGTAAAACACAAAACCCAGATATCCTGCACCTCCAGGACCCGCGGTGCCGTCCAGCTGGAAAATCATTTCTGATTGGCGTGCATGTTACGCTATTTTCCCTGAAATAGATTTTTGCTTTCAGATATATGATTATTATTCTGTTATTATTATGCAAAACAGATGCACAAATTACATGATGCAAATCAAATCAACAGAAAACAAACAAGCTAAAATATCTAATGAAGTACATACAAGATGTAAATATTATTATTGTTTATATATTTATACCTGTGTTTTTTCAGATTAGCTTAACTTGTGTTAAATATCTGTTATTAAATATGAATATGCATATTTATAATTATATCTTTCTAAGTAATAGCTGCTTTTAATAATTAGTAGTATTATAATATTGTTTTATATATAGCAGTATTAGTGCTGTCCCCTCACAGCAAGAAGGTCGCTGGTTCGAGCCTCAGCTGGGTCAGTTGGCGTTTCTGTGTGGAGTTTGCATGTTCTCCCTGTGTTCGTGTGGGTTTTCTCAGGGTGCTCCGGTTTCCCCCACAGTCCAAACACATGCGGTTCAGGTGAATTAGGTAAGCTAAATTGTCCGTCGTGTATGAGTGTGAATGGGAGTGTATAGATGTTTCCCAGAGATGGGTTGCAGCTGGAAGGGCATCTGCTGTGTAAAACATATGCTGGATAAGTTGGCGGTTCATTCCGCTGTGCCGACCCCAGATTAATAAAGGGAACAAGCCAAAAAGAAAATTATTGAATATAAAAACATGTGCACTGGATTAACTATCACTAATATTCATCATTTGTAGCTTACATTATTTATTGTTTTTTTTTCATGATTTTAACACCTTTTTTCCCCTCAGAAGATGAATTATTAGGTTTAAAATTCCTGCAATATTCATAATTATCTGCAATATCATTAATATGCATATTTATATGTTGCCATCAATAATATGCATATAATATTTTTTAATAATAATTGATTTAATAAATATAAAATTTGACAAAAAAATATCTAGCAGTAAATCAAATCAGTATAATAGTAGTATTGTAATATGTAATAAAAATTAAACTTAGGTAGAAGTACAGTTGCTAATATTCATAATATACAGCTTACATTGTTATTTATTGATATGTATTAATTTTATCTAAACACTGAATTATTATTTTCGTTTCAATTCCAATGATTGTATCTTTTTTATTTACAATTTAATTATCTGCAATTGTTTTTTTATTATATATAAACTAATTTTCCTTCAGCTTTGTCCCTTGATTAATGGTATGGTCACATCAGAGCTTGTGCTTGTGAAAAGGGGCTGTGAAAAGGGATGGTATTAAACACTATGATTAGATTTTAATTGTTAATAATGTAAAAATCTTAAGCGGGCTAATATTATTGACCTTAAAGAATAATAAAAACTGCTTTTATTTCAGCCAAACTAGAAGAAACATGGCTTTCTTCTGAAGAAATATAAATACAAAATATAACTATAAAGTCCTTTTTCTTTTGACCATTTCTATTTAACAAAGAAATAAAATAAAATCTTCAGATATTTATTATAGACTGAAGTGCCGACAGACAGAACTTTCCATCAGAGCAATGCTCGTCTTTACATCATCTGCATTGTGTTTTGTATTTAATGTTCAGGAAGATTAACACTGAAGCAGCTCTTAATGTTTGCACACATGAATCACGCTCAACAGATCTTTCAGTTCTTACTGTTATTGTTATGAATGACTGTGCAGATATACTCATTTAAAATCTCTCTTATCTTCACTCTACCAAATGCCTACTCAACTCTGGATGTAATACGGACTATACGGTTACTTCTCTATTAATAACTCAGCTTTTTGGATATAAATGTGATTATCTTATTTTGACGCTGAATGTGTGTGAAGCTGATGGTTTGTGCTGTGGTTGTGTGTTTGGAGCTGTGTTTGCCAGTGTTTTGTGAGATGTTAAAGCATGATTTTTACTGATGAACTGATTCTGATTGTTTTGCTGTAAATTATTGTGGAATGTGTTTGAGTGAGTGTGTACCTGTGTGTGTGAGTAAGTGTGTACCTGTGTGTGTGTGTGAGTGTGTGATGCTGATATTGTTCATTCTACTGCTCATGCAGATCGACTGCTGCCCCCTTTTGGCCCCTTAGATCTCCAGTACTCGATCTTGTTTTCAGTGTTTTAGATTAAAACAAAGTAAGACTTTTTCTGTCAAAGCTCATTTTAGATTGGTATGCATATTTAATTTTTATTTTATTTATTTATTTTATTTCATGGAAGGAACTTGATTTAATTTATACTTTTTTCACCATTTGAAACTTGATTTTGTGTCAGCTTTTTTGCTTATTGACATCGTCATTATTATTATTTTTCCATAATATTTATTTATTTACTTATTTTTATTTTTATGAACTTGTTCTTCTTTATTATATATATATATATA